ACAAGGAAGAGAGCATGCTTTGCTCATTGCTGGAAAGTGCTCAAATCTCTCTTCCACTTTGCAGTGGGAAGAGATGGACCTACAGGAGGGTGCTGGAGCTGTGAGGAACACCTCCCACTCACCACCCACCCCCAGCATCTGCACAGGTCCAGTGTACAAGCAAATACTTTAGCTTAGTGCCTTCACCTTAAGGCCTTTTTTTTGAAGGGGAAAAAAAAAAAGAGTTCTGGGCAATGATTAATCTCAAGGGACAGCAAAAGACTGGAAATTCCCTCAATGTTAAGCTATGGGTGACTGCTAATTATTAGTACATCCATACAAGATAATGAAGCATAAAATCACACACTGAAAGATTTAATACTATCAGAAAGATCACAATGAAGTGCCATATAGACCCAGGAACATACACAAAGACTAGGAGGCAGCATGCAAGATGTTACAGATGGTCTTTCTTTGTGCTGTCTGCTGTGTGCACATTTTCTAACATAAATGGACATTCAGTGCTATTTTCTTTTAACTGTGTTGCCTTTAACCTTTCCCTATTCTCACTTCCACTCAACATTTGTGGAATCTATTTAAACTGTGAGCCTCCCTGGGGACCCCTAGCTTCTCTGACCTGCATGAACCTGCCTGCTGCCTCCTGCACAGGGCACACCCCAGTGGAAATTCCCTCAGGGACTACATCCTGTCTTGGCTGTCTGAGCAGTGAGATCCACTTAGCTGTTATGAACCTTGAACATGTGCTCAGTCTCCTGATTTTAACCAAAATCCAACTAAAACCTTGGCTGAGCACAGAACAAACCCACTGCCTGAGAACTCCAGCTCTGCTCAAGTTCGTCCCTAGTATTTTGGGGTGTCCAGGCAATGCTTTCAAAGTGGGAACTGAGTTCAAAGCAGGGAGAGTGGAAGTCAATTTTGCAGCCTGACCAGTAGTTCTTAACAAGGAGGAGTTGTTTCCTCCATCATGAGGGGAACGCACTTCAGCCTAGAACACAACATTAATCAGCCTACCTCAGACCCTGGCTGCTCTGGTTCACTATGAAAATAAATGGACTGGTTAGGAAGAGGGTAAGGATGTAGTCAAATCAAAATGTTCTCAGTATGAAAACTGTTTTAAAATTATGAGCCTTTGTTATGTAAACACCACATACATTATTCCACTGTTATTAACACAGAAAAGAGATACAAATATTAAGAGAAATACATTTATACCTTTGAAGTGTGGGAAAGGATTAAACAGAGTGTTAAAAAGTGACCATTGGTGGGGCTGGAGAGATGGCTCAGCGATTAAGGGGAGGGACTGACTGGTCTTGCAGAGGACCCAGGTTCGATTCCCAGCACCCACATGGCGGCTACGAACCGTCCTTAACTCCAGTTCCAGGGGAATCCGAGGCCCTCTTCTGAGCTCCACAGCACTGCACTGCACGGGTGCACTCACATACATACAGACAATACACTCATACACATAAAATAATTTTTTTTTTTTAAAAAGTGACTTGTTATGTAGGGTTGTGAGAACTTCTCAATCCCTCTTTACTTTTTTCATTTTTTTTAATGAAACATTTATTGCTGGTTGTTTTGTAGAGTATTCCCATGGAGTTTCCTCTCTGTATGAAGTGTTCTCTGGGTCTCTCCTGGTTACCTGTGGTTACTAGGTTTAATCAAAGAGGAGAAATTCCAGACAGATGTCAGCCGCCTCCACTTTTTAACTTTTTCAGGCTATGTTGTGGGGAACAGGTCAAGTAGATGTTGCCTAAGTAAGCAAGTCATACCATTAGGCAGCCTGTGAAAGGGAAGGAGGGTGAACCGGACCAGAAAACCTGGGCTCCAACTGCTACTCTGCCCTAACAAGTCTCCAAGCCTAAGTTCTTCCTCATCTATGAAGTGGGGACCCAAAGGGGAACTTTTCAACATTTTGCTGAAGTGCAGTGCTGCCAGTAGATACAGGATGGTGTGTGGCATAGACAGGAGTCCTGCCTTTCACTAGTGACAGCAAGAGCAAGGAGGTGGAGGGAAAGCCACAGAGCTAACTATGCTTGTTGTGGTTTAAAATGAAGAGGATAGCTGGGCATGGTGGCACATAATCTTTAATCACTACACTCGGGAGGCAGAGGCAGGTGGATCTCTGTGAGTTCAAGGCCAGCCTGGTCTACATAGTGAGCTCTAGGCCAGCTGGGGCTACAGGAGACCCTAACTCCAAAAAGATTTTTAAAATAGAAGAGGAAGGGGGGAGGGGGAGGAAGAGGAGGAAGAAGAGGAAGAGGAAGAGGAAGAAAAGGAAGAAGAGGACAACTATGCCAAGAGTCCAGGGCCTGACATCCAAAGTTACAGTAGGGGCTTTGGTCCTGCAGGGATGGATAAGTTCAAATAATAACAAATAGCAAATGCAACTGTAGTAGCAATCCTTGGAATACTTTCAAAACTCTGGTCTTAACAAAAAAATAACTAAGAAAAGTCAGGAAAGATCATCTGCGGTTATTGTATTTCTTATTCCAGAGCTCAGTAGATGGCATTCCACAGTCCATAAAAAACAGCAAGCTCTCTTCTAAAAAGATAGCACTGAAAGGCAGGGCAATGATCCCAAACAGACAGAAAACTAAAACTCCATTTAGACACAAGAGCCTCAAAAACAGCCCATAGTGTGGTGACATGTACTACCAACCCTTGACTGCCACTTCTGACCACACTTGATGACAAAATTATAAGGAGCAGAGACTTTTTTGTTTTGTTTTGTGAAATATTTTCCCTTCTCCAGGAGAACAGTGTGACCCTATTGAGACACAGGCCTGGCACAGAGGCCAGGAGTCATTGTAGCTTCCTTGCCTTAGGAGAGCAGACAGGGTCGGTAAGCTTGAGGCCTCCCGCAGCTGAGTGGTTCCCCACAGAAACATGGCTACAGATCTTCACAAACAAACCTATGGAGTCATCAGGATAAGCAAGGTACGAAGGATGGCAGGGAAGAGTGGGAAAGAGGTCACACAAGCCAGGTACACTGTTGAGGCAAAGGACTAAGGATGGATGCCAGAAAAAGAAAACAGAGATGGAAACAAGAGGGTGAGAGTCACCTTCTAGTTCCAGGTAACATATGCTCCTTGGAAAAAGGAGCCATTTCCTCTCCTTCCATCTCAAACAGATGCAAGTGACCTGTTTAGCAGATGCCTCAGGACCATGTTGGAAGCCACTTGCATTCTGAGGACAATCAGCACATTGCTGCCCGGGTGAGGGAAGGACACTTTTCTCCTCGAGAGCTTGTAGGAAATACATCAGGTGGGAAAGAACTGCTTCCTTGAAACTCATTGGCAGCACAGGCTTGTGTGGCTCAGAGCCCTTTTGCAATTTCTGGAAAGTCACATGGCCAATAGGCGGTATGTACACCCAAGACTGTGGAAAAAGGACATGTCCACACATGAGTCTCCCAGATACATTTATTTCTTCCACACTGAGAGCCCAAAGAGAATTGTAGCCTGTAAAGGAACACTTTAGAGGAAGCCACCTGAATTTAGCATTTTTTTGGCCCGAAAGAAAATATCAGATACTAACATGGCACATGGATCAACATTGTTATATGCTTTTCTTTCAGCTTTACTTCACAGAAATGGTAGGGATTTTTTTTCCCCTAGCAAGATCACAAACAGTTTAGGCTTTAAGGACTAAGAGACAAAACAGAAATTATGGAGGTACTTATATAACCATTTAAAATGTTAGTGCTTAAAAAATATTTTAAAAATCTATCCTCAATTCCACAGGCACTGGCCACAGCTGTCTGTCTCTGCTCCACAGTACACAGGTACATGTTATTCTGATGGTGATCACTGAAAATTTAAAGTTGCTAATTTACAGAGAAACAGCAATGGTCTTGGAGATAGGCAAGTACTTGTAGGAAAGCTGTTTACCCCAGTGCTGCTGGCTTGTTGCTAGTGGCTGATGGGAATTCCAACTCTGTAGTTGGCATTCCAATTCCATGGCTACTGAAATGCCACTGTTTCTACCAGGTTTATTTCATAAGCACCTGTCTGGGTAAAGGCTTGCAGGGGCTTCTAACTTTTCTAGGAAGCAAACAAAAACAGAGCTGTATAAGGTAATGGGACTGAAAGGTAAAGATAAAGGTCACTAAGAAACAAAAGCAGTGTGGGGAGGCACCCCAATATACTGCTGATTTGAGGCCAAAATTCTAGAGTGTCCAAAGGGAAGTACTAAAAACAAATGAATCATCTACACAGCTGGACGACCAAAGGGAAGAAGAAGTCAATATGAGCCAATCAAGGACATCAACAAAGATCACTAGCAGAGAGGTAATCACTTCTCCGCCTATATTAACCAGGGGTACAAACAGGCAGAAGAGCACAACCATGGCACTTCCAAAGCCTGCTGGACAAACACAAGTGCTGAGGGTGCTGAGAGCCATCTCCATGTCCTTCAGGTAACACTGGGCCACAAGGACACAAGGACACCAGGCCATAAGGACAGAAGAACAGAAGGACACCAGGCCATAAGGACAGAAGAACAGAAGGACACAAGGACACAAGGACCAAGCCAATCTACCTAACGCACATCAAAAAGAAGCAGACCCAGCCGACTTTCTCTAGGACCACAGTTTTCATTTCAAGGAATTAAAACAGCCACTGGGAAATACTTTGATTTATGGTATTAGTACTGTTTTAAATGTTTTATATATTGTGATGAAAAGGAAAAAAGTCTTTTTTTAAAGGCTGTATGAATGAATATACTGAAATATAAAAGGATCATTTTCTAATCTTATAGAATGACTTGATTATTAAAATAGCAATTTAGACAGTTCTTGCTATTTAGTAATAAAAATGTACCCTAGAGCAAATCATTCCCCTACATTTATATATTATTTATATCTTATAAACATTCACCAGTTTAGTATCGCTGTGATAATCCACAGTGAGAGAAGAGAAAGAATAGAAGAGGGGTGGGGAAGGGAAAAGAGAGGAAGAGAAAGACAAAGAGGTACATACACACAGTGCCATACGTACATGAGCTGCCTGGACACCAGTGAGCCTCCAGGTACCGTCTGCCCATAGTGATAGTCAGCACTGGCAAGGGCCTCAGCAACTCCCAAGTATTCAGGAAACAGTGAGATGGTTCACTGTTGAGGGAAGAGACAAAAAAAAAAAAAGGTAGAAACAAAACAGAGTCTTAGGATAATGATTACATTTTTTTCATTAAAATGCTAATGATGACCACCAACTTCCAGATAACCATGTTTATGAATTATTCATACTTATATGTGAGAAAAAAATATCTTTCTGCCCTGGAGCTTGCTGGGGATTAGCATGTGGCCCCTGCAATAAGTGTGACAAAAGAGCAGGTCCCTGCAAGTCCCTGGTCCAGACAGAAGCCCAGCAATCCCACTGCAATGGGCGGATGATTTGTCTTCTTCAATGTCAAGGATATCAGCAGCCCTGCTCTTTGCTATACATGAACTAACACCCTATACTCTAAACACACAAAAGGGGGGAAAATTCAGTATTGGAGAGGCTATATGTCAGACTGATTAAAAAACAAAAACTTTTCATTGAAGTATAACATGCATTTGTTTAGAGTGCGCACATAATGACACAGAACAATGAATTTTTCTAAACTGAACACACTAATTCCAATCCACACAGAAGGCTCCTTCATGTCCTTCTGAAGGTAACACGTATGTACAGACCACTTTTTCACATTGTTGTGGATGTTAGATTGATTGGATGCCATTAATTTCTCATTTAAAAAACTCAGGCTTAATCCTTACTATAAGTCAAGCACTAAGCTAAGTACCTGAGTTACAAAGATGAATAAAACACTATCTCAGTCTTTAAAGAACATGATATAGTGGGTTGAGAAACTCGCACAGAATGAGCACTGGAGAGCAGTAGGGCGAGTGTGGTAACTCGTTTATGTCCAGCAGGGGCCTCTAGCCTAGACAGGAAGAGGTCAGGAAAGGCTTCCAGGAACAAAGGATGTCTGACACATCTGAGGCTAGGCTGGAGTTAGCCAAGTTGGGTAGAAGACAAGACAAAGGAAAAGGCAGAGGGAAGAAACTGTGTAGCTCCAGGGTGAGGACCATGTTGCCAGGCCAGGGAAGAAGACTGGAGCCAGATGGCAGCTCTGTACTTCTATCAGCGATCTCTGACTAGATGTGGCTGCAGACAGCCACAGCCGGTCAGATGTGGGTTCCAGCTGCTCTGCTCTTCCTGGATGGATCCAGAGCAGTAGTGTGGAAGAAGCAGCAGCAAGAGCAGTTAGGCCAGTTTGCTTTGTACGATCATCCAGACAGGAGACGTGGGGTGAAGACTGTGGTAGAGAGCAAGAAGAGAAAGGAAGGGAAGAAGTGGTATTTGGAAACATCAAGCGACTAAAAGCAGAACAACTTGATTAACTATATGCAGGGAGATGCTCATGAAAACTAAAATAAAGAATGCCGGAGAAGGGATAAGGAAGACCAAGAGATCAGTCTGAGGCATTAAAAACTGAGGTGTAGGTGATTTGGGACAGGATGTGAGGCCGGAGGGGAAAGCCAGAACAAAATATAACACTAATAAGGAAATATCACACACAAAGGCAGAGACAATGTCAGAGAGCGCCATCTCTGGAGGATTATGGGCAGACAGAAGATTGCACAGTTATAGTGCTAAGAGCAATGCCCAAGAGTCACGAACAACGACAGAACAGGAAGAAGGTGACAACTAGGCTGCAAGGTTGGAGAGCTAGCATGGGACATAGAGTCAAATGAAGATAAAGATGAAAGATGCTTTAGGATTTGACATTTGAAAAGTCACTGGCCACACTTATTCAGTGACATGGAGGAGAAAAAGAACAGCATCAACAGAGCAAGTGGAAGAACAGGTGTAGGGGAACAGACAGCTTTGTAAGAGCTTAAGTGCCACAGCTGTACACTTTAGAAATCAGGAAAAAGGCAAGGATGAGAGAATGAGGAAGAGCAAGATGAATTAGATCTGGAGAGGCAGGGAGGAAGGCAGGAGTTCAGATGAAGGGGCTGACCTTGAAAAGAGAGAATCCACCCAATAAAGTATAAAGCTAAACCTGGTCATGCAATGCTCACAGTTAACAGCACTGGGATATAGGAGGAAAAAGACCAAATGACATTAACATTCTTAAAAACACTTGGCAATGGGCTAGAAAGACACCTCAGTGGTAAAAGTGCTTGCTGTGAAAGCAAGAGGATCTGAGTTCAAATCCCCAGCACCCACATAAAAGCCAGGCATAGCTGCATGTGCCTGAAACCCCAGTGTTAGAAGGCAGAGACAGGAGGATCCCTGGAGCTCACTGGCCAGTCAGTGTAGTCTAGACAAAACCACAAGTTTCAGGTTCAGTGAGAGACTCTTGTCTCAAAAATATAAGATACAGCTGGGAATGGTGGTGCACACCTTTAATCCAGAGCTCAGGAGGCAGAGGCACGCAGATCTCTATGAGATCAAGACCAGCCTGGTCTACACGGTGAGTTCCAGGCCAGCTGGGGAGACCTTGTCTCAAAAACAAACAAAAAACCTATGGCCCCTGAATGGGTGTGCATGGACATGCATACATGTATACACACACACACACACACACAGAGAGAGAGAGAGAGAGAGAGAGAGAGAGAGAGAGAGAGAGTGTATACACTTGGAAACGCGTTTCTCGAGAGTGAGGAG